TGCGCCTCTCTCAGGGCCCTGATTGGGCGATTTTTGGCCGTCTTTGCCCCCCTTTTGGGCCGTTTTCGAACCCTCTTGGGCCGTCCTGGGGCCCTCTTATGGGTCCTTTTGGGTAATTTTTGGGCGGTCGACGGCGCCTCTTGAGCTGTTTTGGGGCGTCGGAAGCTCGAGAAGAGGAGACGATAGACCAATTTCAAGAAAATTGTTGATTCTTGCTTCTGGTTGCTCTTGGGAAGGCTCTGGGGCGTCTCGAAGGCGTCTTCGGGCGTGGGCGTCTTGGAACCATCGACGGCGCCTTGGGCCAATCGTTCCGCGATTCGGGACCGTATCGAAACGTCTTTGAGGCCACGGACGGCAGATTTGGAAGCTCCGGAGTCTCCGGGGGTGCGCCGAGGAGCCCAGATACTTCCCACCTCCACCCCCCTTCCCCTAACGGGACTTTGGACCCTGGGGGAGGGGGAACGGAGAGGGGGACAGCCAATCATCTCACACGCCTTCTCGCCTCCGGTAAGCGGGGGTCGCCGGATATCATGTGCGCGTCGGCCCCCTGGGGGCGTCGCGCGCTTAGAAGTCTTGTAGCATAGGGTCGGTGGCGGGCGCTTTCTGGTCATACCGCCTGGACAATGCTGTACTGCAAGGCTTACTTACGATATGTTCGTGTCGGGCGTGCGCCTCCAACATCAGCGCGTACAGTCGAGGTTGATTTGTAGGTCGACCCTGCCCTGCCAAACCAAGGGTGCCCTTGTGTCCTGTGCTTCGCGACCCGGGCCTTTTACAGTCCTACGGCAATGCGGCCCTCGGAAGGGTCCTCTTCAATCAACCCAGACTGTAGTACCAGTGTGTCCCTCCGCTTGGCGGCGAGCGCGGGGGGGACGTGAGGGGGGGCAGGCCTTCTCAGAAGGCTCGGAAGTCCCCTGGCCTTCTGAGAAGTTTCCTAAGCCTTCTCCGAAGACACAACAAACTTCTCAGAAGGCGCGAGGACTTCTGGGAAGTCCCGCCGCCTTCTCACTTCCCCCCCCTCGCTCGCCGCCGATACGCGTCCCAGAAAACATCAGAACCTTGATTGCTTACCCTCGGCCCTCCTACGGGGTCCTCTCTGGGCCCTCCGGTGGCCGACCCTCGGGCAATCCTGGGGCCCGCCCCCCCCGGGCGGCCATGCCTGCAGGCCGCGTCGCGCGCCGTGCGCGAGCTGAAGGAGCTGAGGCGCTGGTCGCCGGGCTCCGCCCTCGCCATTCGGAGGGTCGGGTGCGGGTCGTCGCCGTCGCCGTCGCCGTCGCCGTCGTCACCGTCGTCGTCGCCGTCGTGGTCGTCGTCGCCGTCGCCGTCGCCGTCGCCGTCGCCGTCGCCGTCGCCGTTCTCCTCCTCGCCTTATGGGCCTCGGGGGGACCGTTCGTCGCCTCGGGTGGCTCCGCCTTGGAATCTTAGAACGCGCCCAGGAAGAGATCTGCGGTCGATGTCGGGAGTGGGTGCCGAGGAGGCCTCGGAGGCTGCTGCAGGGGCGACTGGCCCAAGGTGCCCTGACATCCAGGCGGGACAGTCTCGACGGGCTCTTTCGCTTTGCTTCGGGCTCCAGGGCCTTCGCCGACATGTCCGGCTCGAGGGATCAATCAAGGCCGCTGGCGTTTTTTTCACGTCGCTGTGTGTTTCTATCACGTTGGTGGGTTATGCTGGTTTAGCCCTGCTCTCCCCCCCAGTCGCTTCTCCCACTTTCCACCTCGTGCACCCTAGCCCCCTTTCCCTGTGTCCTCTTCGTTGTTGCATAGAGCAGCGCGCGCTGCTGTCCTCTCCCTCGCTGCGAATGCGCCGCTGTGCGCAGCTGTCCACCAGTCTGCCCTAAAGCTCCTGGCTGGGCCCTCCAAGCGCCTGGCTCCCTCAGATCCAGAACTTGATCCTCGGTCCAACGAGGGCCCGATCCTCAACCCACTATCGGCGCCGATGGGTGAACCCCCCGATCAGTGCTTCCCTCGCTCGGCTGCTTGCAGCTTGCGGGGAGTATTAGCGATTAACGAGTCCCCGCGATTCTGAGGTGCGAAGCAGGTGGAGATGGCAGGGGCGCATGTGCAGGGGAGGCGTTTGGCACTGTCAGGGGCACATCTGCGGGTGGAGGTCAGCAGTGGGACCGCTCGAGGGCGGAGACCGTGATGTGCCCTCGAGCGGGAGCCGCGACAAGCTCGAGGGCCCATCGCAGGTAGCTTTCGGAGCCCGTTCCCTGCACACGATGGTGGTCGTAGAAGAACCATTCATCAACCTACCCATTCCTCAGGTCGGAATTGGCGCTGGTATATCCCTGGTCGAAAACTTGCCCAAGCTGGACAGATCCCTCTTAGTCCGGCTTCATTTCGCTTCCTCCGGCGCAATTCCAATCCATGTAGCCTCATCCCAGGCCTGATCCGGCCTAGTCCGTCTCAATGGGCTTAACAGCCTTTGATCGTTGTGACGAGGACCTCCCGGGATCGGGCGGAGCTAGGACGAGGATAAATCCGTTCCAGAGCGTTTCGGAACGCTCTGAGAAGGCCGCTGCGCCCGAGACATCCTCCAGAGCCGCCGAACCTCAGAGATTCTCGATTTATCCTCACCTGATGTATCCTCGTCCTGGCTTTGTCTTACTCTCCCCTCCGCTCTCGTCCTCGAGCCCCCCCCCAAGAGGGAGGGCCCCCCTGGGCCCCGCCAGGGCCCCGCCGTGAAGGTGGCCCACGGCCGCGAAGGGCCAGGACGACTGCCGCGAGAGGCACCATGGTTTCGGCAGCAATTCATGGCAGCCGTACTGAGCGCTTTCTTCCTTATTTCCGACCGACCTACGGCGGCACGGTCCAGGAAACACGTGATTACCTTCGTGCTGCTCCGCCTTCCGCAGGGCTCTCGCCCTGCCAATCCTTCGGCCATCCTCGGGCCCTCCTCGGAGGCCGTCCTGGTGCCATCCTGAGGCTCTGGAAGGCTCTGTATGTCCCAGGAGGCATGTGGGGTTGGTCCAGGAGCATCTGGAGCTCCCCTGACGGGCCTCCAGAAGCCCAGGAGGGGATGAACGCATCAGAACCTTCGGTCTCGATCCAGCGAGGACCCGATCCTCGATCCGCCGCCAACGCGGACTCGAGCCTTGATGCACGGACGACTCGATTGCCAGTCCCCGATCCTCCCCAAGGTGCTTGCCCCCTGTCTCCTGCCCCCGCCATCCTGCCGCCCTGCAGGTGGAAGGGGACCTGCCACTCTTCCTTCTGTCTTCGGCGTCACCCCAATCTACCCATGCAATGTGTTCGTCGCCCCCCCCCACAGGGGCGACGCACGCGCTGAGAAATCTTCTAGTACATGCTCGGTGGCTGGCGCTTTCTGGCCATACCGCTCGGGAAACGATATACTACAAGATGGTTGTTCTACATGCTCGGGTCGGACGCACGCCTCCATGCGTCCCATGTCTTCCCCCCCCCTCCCCCCCTTCCGTGCCCCCCCCCTCCCGGCACCCTGGGGTGCCTCCTCCCACTGGGCCTCGCGCCGTGGGGGGGCGATAAAGGGGGCGACAGCGAGGGCTGCGGAAAAGCGACCCTCTTGGGCCCCTAAGGGTGCCGTTTCGGGCCCAGAAGGGGAGCGTCTAGGGCCCGAGAAGTGCACCTTTCTTCCACCCCCCCCAATTCATCGCCCCTCCATTAATTCACGCCCAACTCCCTTCCGAGGTCGGGTGGCCCCTGCCCTCCCTCGCTCTGTGCCCTCCCCCTCCTCCGGGGCTCGGCGCACGCGAGCGCTCGCCGACCATCGCGACGACCCCGACCGCGCGCTCGCGGGGCGTCGCGAAGCCGCGGGCCAGGCACGCCGCGATGGCCTCCGTCCGAGCCGTCCGCGATCGGGGCTCTCCCCTCCCACCTGCCTTCTTCTAGGTCTCCCAGATAGGGTTTGAGTAGATGGTGTCGGAGGATCGCCCCGGTCTCTCCAAGCCAACGTCGGCAACTTCGCCGATGCGTCGGCGATGCGTCGGCGTTTCAGTGCAATCCTCTGACCCCATCTGCTCGGACCGTTGGGGCCAGATAGAATGTGGGCTCTACCGCGACTAGACACGGGCGGCCTTGCCTGGGGTGACGATCACAAGTCGCATGGCAACCTTCTTGAGACTAGCAACGCCATGTCGGGCAACGAATCCGGCTACGACGAAGTCGGTCCACCAGTGCTGGCATGGTTTTGGTGGGCAGACGAGCTGGACTCGGACGACGAGCTCAGCATTCTCGTGGAGCTCAGCGGGCGCGACCTCGAGGACGAGGTGAACGAGAGACGCTGGCTCAGATGGGCAAGGGCCGCCAGAAGACCTGGAAGGAGAACAAGTACCTGAACAACGCCGTTCGGAAGGATCGCGGCTACTGGAAGCGCCAACGCCGACTCGCCCCAACACGGCTCAAGCTGCTCACGAAGTGCGGCAAATGCGGAAAGGCGGGCCATTGGCGCGCGAAATGCAAGAACCCGTCCAAATCCAAAGAGCCTCGTCAGCGAGGACATTTGGGCAAATCAGGAGCTGGTGGCGCGGCATTTTCTTTCGACGGCAGCGGGTTCACGCGCGCGGCGCAGGACGCGAACCTCCACGACAGCTCATGGATCACATTGCTCGTCCTCGAGAAGACCGACGAGGACGCCAGCGCCCAGAGGAACCTCACCTTCGTCATGCTAGAGGCTGGTTGCGTGATCGTGGAAAGCGGGGCCTCCCAGGCGGTCATAGGCAAGGAATCCTGGGGCCGTCTCACCGAGGACCTGAGGTCCAGAGGGCTCTCGCCCGCGTGGATCGACAAGCCTGCCAGACCCCCGACGGGGATCGGCGGGTAGGCCACCTTGCTCGGCGCGGCGATGGCCCCAATTGCGACGGGAGACAAGTCTGGAGTGTTCGAGTTTGTTGTGACACCCGAGAGTTCCCCACCTCTATTGCCTGGTGAGTTCCTCGACGCTTTCGGTGCCAATTTGGGTTGCCCGCGTGAGCAACTCGCCCTCCAGAAAATCTGATTTGCAGTACCCATGGAGAAGTCGGGCAGGAAACACAGGACGATCAGGCTGAACGACTGGCAGGGCCTTGAGAGCCAGGTCGAGCCGCCAGGACATCTGGCACAGAACTGCAAAAACATGCGGAGTGCCGAGGCAAGTTCCAGATGTCGGTCACTCCTCACATCATAATATCCTTTATCTTCTCCCCCTGCTCCCTGCGCCTATTCTTGTGGCCCCGCAGCCATTCTTCCAGCAGATGCGTCACTCGCGCGACTTTTACGGCAGACTGTCCTCTTTTGCCCACAGTGCTGGCCGATTGTGATCAAGCGCGCCGAGACAGAAGACGAGGTCCGCTCCGTCGTGGGATTCTGGACGGCCCTCCTGGTCTCAGTGGGCTCCTACTACAAGAACACATCAAGGACATGCGGCTCTTCGGCACCAAGAACTATAAGAAGCGACTTCTCGGGGACTCGAAGCTGCTGCTGGGGACGCAGGCCAGAGCTTGGACGAGATGTGTCCATCATCCCTGGAGAATATCGAGCTCGGGGAACCAGCGCGCCCTGTGGGACTTCTGTGCAAGCAGCCGGATGCGAGTTGCCTACCGCCCCAAGCGCAACGCGGGCAAAGGCAACCGCAGGACGACGAACCAGGAACCAGCATTACTTCGAGGTCAATTGGCTGCTCCCGTGCGTCACTCTGCGCCTCGGAGTCCAGCGCCTGCTGCGGAGCCGGCAGGTCATCCTCCGACATCCGATAACCAGTGGAGCTGTCTATCGAGCCACTCGTCTCCTCCGGCCTGGGCAGTGGCGATGATGCAGGAGGCAGTCCAGACCGCGGTAGCGAGCATGTCCGCGAACGTGGCGATTGCTACCCGGGCTACCCTGCAGGCGCAGTCGCAGAACATGGCCAACTCGATGCTCCCCCTGGTCTCCGAGATGCGGTCGGTGAGCGAGCGTCTGAGCGCCCTGTCCAACAGTCATCAGCCAGCAGTCGTAAATGCGGTTCCTGCAGCAGACGCGCCAGCGAGTCCAGCGCCAGCCTCCTCCTCGCCCCAGGGCCAGGAGGGCTCGACGCAGGGAGTGGTCGAGCTGGTCGGGCCGGCGCCGTGTCCGCGCTCCATCTGAGGCGGGCGCCCCCTGCGGCGTCCGAGGAGCTAAGGCGCTTGAGCAAGCGTCCGGAATCCTGCTGGATACAGCCGTCCCAGGCCGCCAGTCGCCATCGCGGTCGGCGGGCAGCGTGCTTCGCGCGAGCAAGGCCGACCTCTGCAACTCCCCCAGTCTCGGAGGGGGCGGCTCGTGCTCGGGGAAGGTGGGCGCAGAGGACCTGTGCGCGCCATCGCCGTCCCTGCCTGCGTCATCGGCTACTGCCGCTCCGTCGGTGACACCGGATGCTTCGCCATCAGTCGCGACGCCGCCGTTGCAGCATCATCGCCAATGACATTTTTAGCACCATCATCAACAGCCCGGGTGTTCATGACATTTTCAGCGCCGCCATCTGCATCCCTGATAACCATACCAGGACACATTCCGGTGACATATTCCTCCCCTGGCATCTCTTGGGGTCGTATGTAGCATGTTCCAGAGGGCAGCTTTCTCGAGGCCGAGACAGTCGCAGATGACATTCTGGCTTGCGCAGAGGGCTCGAAAAAACACGCCAGTCCACAGCGGGTCCCTCAAGTCCCTCCGTAAGACACTCAACGGGCTCGGGCGCGAGACTCCGGGCGCCGGGACCCGCTGGGCTTCGTCGTGATCTTCTTCGCGCCTCGTGTAGGGCCCCGTATTGGAGGCAGCTTGGATCTCAAGACTGGCTGGGGCTTCATGCTATCCAAACATCGTCAATTTGCTTGGAGCTTGATCGGCCCCTGGAAGCCGTGGTTTGTGTTCCTCTGCCCGCCTGGCACGGAGTTCAGCATTCTCACCGCGTTTGCCGAGGGCCGCCAGGGCCCCCGCTGGCTAGCCATCGAGCGCGCCGAGGCTATGGCCCCGTAGGGATTTGCTCCAGAGGTTGCTGCTGAACAGGTCTCGCGGGGTCGACGGTTTGCGATCGAGCAGCCTCCCAGTGCGCGATCGCTTCATTTGCGCAGTGCCGAGTGGTTGCGCACACAGGCTGGTGTTCAGGAGGTGTCCTTTGACATGTGCAGGCTCGGTTTCCGAGTCCAAGGCGAGTCTCTCTCAAAGGAACCCACGGGCGTCCCGGCCAAGGATGCGCTACTGATTCAGGCTCTGTCTCTGAAGAAGTGCAGGGGTGACCGCGGGCGCGAGTTGCTGGTTGGCGGTTGGGCCGCCTCGAGGGCCGCTGTCTACCCCGGAAAATTTTGTTGCGCCGTGGCCAACGCAGTCTTGCGATCGGCGCGTGTCATGGGCGAGCGGAGCTTTGTCGAGGCTCCTCTTGCGCGCGCCTGCCCTGCGCCCCTGCGCGACGAGGACATGCGAGCATCCTGGGTCGGCGGGCCGGCGGGAGATGATGAGGGGCGCGCGGATGTTGAGGAAGCTGAAGGAGCACCAGATATCGCGGATACCGCTCTCACACAGGAGCGCGTGCAGATGGTGGAGAAGGTGCGCATGAACCTAGGACATGCTACCAACCGTGACCTACTTCGCACCTTATGCAATGCGCATGCGCGTCCAGAGGTACTGCAGCACGTGCAGGAACACCTGGTGCCATTCTTGTTCCAGTTCGGCTCGCCCCATCGCTCAGCGCAGGACTTGCGTGCCCCGCGCCCCGCGCGTGTGCTTTCGACGAAATCCCTGGCGTTGATTTGTTCTATGTCGTGCGCCGTCAGCAGACCTATGCGTTTCTCAGCGCCGTGTGTTTGGGGGCCTCTCTCCAGTGGGCGGGTCTTGTCGGTGCCCGTCGTTGTTTGCAGCCTGGCCTTGTCTAGCAAGTGGTCGCCGAGGGCTGGCTTCGTCGCTTCGGCCCGCCAGAAGTGGTCACGTCGGACGTGGGCGCCCAGTTCGAAGCCGAGTTCGATCGTTTCGTTGGGCAGGCGGGGTCGTGACATTATGTGAGTGGCGCTGAGGGCCCGCGGCAGGGCGGGGAGACCGAGCGGGCCGACCAGTGGCGGAAGGAGCGTCTCCAGCGGATAGTCGAGGAAGTGGTATTGAACTGTCGGGGGGGCCTGGGGCAGGCAGCTTGTGAGCTCGCAGCGCGGCGCAACGGATTCCTCAACAGGGGCGGGGCCTCCCCGCTGCAGTTCGGGCAAAACCCGCGATTGCCTCGTGAGCTGCTGTCGGGGGATCCTATTGATCACGTCGGTTTGCACGATCTTTCCGAGATGGGTGAAGACGTGGACAGTGCTGCCGCGGCCTGTCGTCATCAGTGCGCCACTCGCACCAGAGCCAGAGAGCTGGCGATAGAGGGAGATGCGCGGAGCAAGCTCAGTCTCGCCCTACGTTCCGCGTGGTGTCGCGATCGTACCTATCAACTTGTAGACTGGGTATGCGTGCGGCGCAGGACTCCTTCTGCTGGTAAGAAACCCTTCGGGCTCCAGCGTGACAGATGGGTTGGCCCAGGTTCTACCACCAGGGTGCCGCGGTCGGAGGCGGGATAAGAAGCATTCTCTGGAAGTGCAGCAGCGAGCAGATACGTCGAGCTACGCAGTCTGAGTCTTTGGCAGCAGGACTCATGCAGTCTTCGGCTTGCCGCTTGCTTCTCTCCAGGGGTTTCGACAAGGGGATGTCGGGCAGCGCTGTAGACGTATCTCAGGACCCCCTCCTCCAGAAGCCCAACTAGTTTTTTTTTGGTCTGTAAGATGCTCAATGAGGTTTTCAGTCGGAGCGTGTCCTCCACGCGGGAGGGCGATTGGTGACCTTGTGCGCGCCGCCAATCATTTTTCCTCGCTCACGTGGCCCTTCGGCCGTGGCAGGAGGCCAGGCGGAGGGGTGGGTCCTCGGTCGTCGACACCTTGCCATCGTTGACGCCTGTGAACTGTCAGTGCATATCACGCTTCAGTTGCGGACGAGAGTGATGGAGTCGTCGGGGTCGTCGGCAGTCTGCAAGAGTCTGAAGCAGCCCGCCGCGTGCGTTTTTTTGCAGCGTGTTGCATAGCGAGCCCGCCGCAGACGCCGAATTTTCATCAAATCAACGTGGGGGGTCCATCCCCAGGGACCGAGAGGAAATCTTCAAATCTGTGCACGTAGACGTTTCCTGACGGTGCGTTTGGAGATCGTTTCTTCCCATCACCGCCGTGCAATTCTTTTCTGGCCAACTTCGTGCGCCTGCAGTTCGAACGCCAGATAGCGAAAAACAGCGCAGCAGTATCCGTGCAAATCTAACGGTGCGCAGAGAACATGCGGATAACATGTGCAGATGCAGTCTTGCCCGCAAGGTTTTGTCGAGTAGAGGCAACGCCATACTGGCATACCTATTGTACAGAGCAAAGGGGGCCTGGGATGGGAGGCTGTCTAGCTGCATCGGATAGTTGGTGGTTGTGTACGAGATTCGTTGGGACCGAGAAGAGCAGCGAGCACGTGGGATGCACAAAACTTGGGATCCTTCGGCAGTAAGCCGCTGGATACTTGCATGCCGTCGTGACCTTAAGAGTGCATGCGTGTCGGTTCGCGTCTGGTTATCGCTGAGATATCGCCGAATTGGCGCCGATTGCCGTCGGTTAGCTTTGACTAGCGTCGATTAGCGTTACTTTAGCGTCGAATAGCGCCAATCCGTAAAAGTCAGCAAGATAGAATGCTTGGCTCCCATGAATTGCCGCAGAAGGATCCAGGGGCGACGGTCTCGCACCTGCGTCCTTGCCTTCAGTGTGATCGCGCCACGCCCATCTTGGGGTCTATCCCAGGCGAAGTTTCGAGGCGGACCCGGTCGTGGCGACGAAAAGTCCCCCCGAGGCTCCCGAAAGACTCGGACCGATCGAAAACCTCGAACCACGATAACCGAATCTTGATTATCCTCCTCGTTCTTCTTCTCCCAGCGAAGGGTGAGTGGGATCAGCGGGAAGGCGCACCGTCGCCACTATTGCCATCGCGCTACCAGATCGGTCATCGACCATCGCGGTCGCGGGGAGGGGGGATGATACTGCAGGGGAGACCATGTTTGAGGCGGTGGGAGAAGGAGCCGGCAACGAGACTCTACGTGGATTGTGACTGCAGTGTGCGCAAAAGTTGACGGACGCGATGAGCAACGCGATGCGGTCAGAGCGAGATGGAAGCGGGTTGCGGCTCGCGACAACAAGCCGTATCAGGGGTGCGCGGGATCAGGTTGGCAGGCGCAATGCGAACGACACAGGAACGCCATGGCGAGCAGGGCTGAGCTTGTGGGCATGTCAGCACGGAGAACCCGACAAGAGGGTTCAGAGGATGGCGGCAGCCCGCGAAAGACGTCCCGTGGCGCAGTGTCGCAGAAGATGTGGTGTGCAGCATCCCGCAGGGCGAGGCAGAATCGACTTGTCTCGGCATCTACCGGACTGGGGATGCCCCCTCCCTGTGCCCCAGGGTTGTCTGCGAAAGTGCAGTCATCTCTTGGCCACCAGCCAGAGGTCGGCCAATATTGCCCACACCGAACGTGGGCGCAGGATTGGGCCTCGTTCCAACCGCCCCCCTCCTCCCCATCCCCTCTTCTTCTAGGTATCTGCTAGAAGAAAAGGAGGAGCACGAGCAGCGGAAGGAGAAGGAGGAGGAGGAGGAGGAGGAAGAGGAGGACGAGGACGAGGACGAGGACGAGGAGGAGGAGGAGGAGGAGGAGGAGGGAGGAGGAGGAGGAGGAGGAGGAGGAGGAGAGGAGGAGGAGGAGGAGGAGGAGGCAGGAGGAGGGAGGAGGAGGAGGAGGAGGAGGAGGAGGAGGAGGAGGAGGAGGGGAGGAGGAGGAGGTGGAGGTGGAGGAGAAGGAGGAGGAGCAGGAACAGGAGGAGGAGGAGGAGGAGGAGGAGGAGGAGGAGAAGGTGGAGGTGAAGTGAAGCAGCCATACGCCAAACGCGCGTGGGCAAGAGAACACGGCGAGCATGCGGCAACGCCAAACGCGTTAGATGGCGCATAGGAGACGCGCCAAACGCGCGACAAGACAGCGACGACGCGCCAAATGCGTGCTGGGAGGACGAGGGGAGGAGGAGAGAGAGATGACGATGAAGGACAGTTGATTGCATTCATATCAGCCACAAGTCGCTTATATTACTGATTTTGGTTCTCACTCCTCTGGTTCAACGAACTCTGAAACGAAGCGGTACCATTGTTGCTTGTCCGCGACGCATTGGGACAGAGCAGAATCATACTCAAAACAACTTCGTACTTTATTGTATAGACACTTCGCCCACTCGTGTCTGGGGGGGCCCAAGCTTCCGTGCAAGGGAGTCAGTGATCGGCTTCAAACTACCAGGCTGGAGAGTTGTTTTCCGGAGTACGTCCGTGTCGCTGCTGCGGCCAAGTTTTCCAAACCACATAAGCTGATGCTGGAGTAGTTGGGCACTGTATGGTGTGGCCCCAGCTTGTTGTAGCACACTTTTGTTGGACACCCTTGAAATATAAGAATGAGGAATGTTCAGGATATGTCGTAGGCAACGCGCTTTGAAACCATCTAATCGTCGTCTGTCGCTCTTGTTGAGCCAGGCAGAATTCAAAGAAGACATAACTTTCGTCGTAACCAGTGCCCCGAATACGTTCAGCTTTCGTTCTATACTGATGGACGTGTGTTTCCAGGCCCTTGTGTATCTCTGGAATTCCCCCAGGCTCCTCCAAGTCGTTTGACCAACTCCTGTTTCATTTTACCGGAACTGTTGATCGTGGCACCCAAGTATTTCATTTGTTCTGTCGCCGGGATGATGTTACCACTTGGGTCCAACAGTTGAAGGTCGCATCCTGTTTGAATCAATTGAAATTTATCCCAATGTAGCTCCATTCCAACACCTGCTCCTGCTCGTGCAATTGCGTTCAGCATGTCTTGTCGTTGTCCTTCGTGACGCCCAACCAGGAGAGTGTCGTCAGCATACAAAAGAACATATCAATCCCCGGCAGATAATGCTCTGGCAGCATCATCTTCCAACTTGTCTTCTGCGTTTTTGATAATCACACTCATCACCATCACAAACAGGAATGGAGATAAAGGGCAACCCTGAGCAATTCCCGAAATTTGGTTTCTGGTTCGTGATTTGTGTCGCCCGTCTGCCACGCAAAACTGTCTATGATTGTATATATTACCAATGAGAGAAAGCATGTTTTGAGGTACTCCAAATATGTGTAATGCGTCTAACAGAGCAGCCACGTTGATCGAGTCGAATGCTTTTATCCAATCAAGAACAAGCATAGCTACTGCACCTCCCCGTTCCGCATGTGCTGTCTCAAGATGCCTGCGCACGGCATGGATGGTATCGGAGATGTTCCTTTGTCTCCTGAAGCCGAATTGTGTCTTTGTTAAGCGGCTCTCAGCCCCGGCGTCTTGCAGTTTCCCCAACCATAGTGTGGCCAAAAGCTTGTAAATGACACACAGAAGACTGATAGGGCGGTAATTGTCGCACTGATCGATCGGGCCTTTGTTTTTGTAGATGGCACTCACATCGGCGTGTCTCCAATCCGTCGGCACTTCTTTTTCCTTCCAGCATGTGTTAATTCATGAAGCAATCCATGTTAGCCCTCTGGGGTCTCTGGCCAAAGCCTTCCAAAACTCCGCCGGTACGTCGTCTGGCCCGGAAGTTTTTCCACGTTTTAGTTTTGATATTGCAAGTCCCAAGTCTTTGTCTGTGAAGTCGGTGTCGGTGACGGGCAGGGGGGGCCCCAGAGGCGCTCGGTCCAGCACTGCTGCTGGCCGGACTTTTCATTGTACTTCTTCTAGATACTCGGCCATCGTGTCCGCCCTCTCCTCGCTATCAACAAGTTCGCCTCGTATATTCCGGAGTCTGCCTTGTTTGCGCGGCTTCGCCTTGCATGCTTTTTTCAAGGATGCCCAATCCCCTCCTTGGATACGTTTGCCCACCCATTCTGTTTTGTCGACTTTTGCGGACTTCCGCACTTCTTTCAACAATCTCTTCTCCTCCGCGGTGTTGTTCCGTAGTCTTGCTTGGCTCCTTTGCTCTATCAAATCCAGCGTTTTCTGTGATATCCAAGGCTGTCGTGTTGCACTTCCTCGGTGCGGCAGCGTGTTTCTTGCACATTCCATTGCATATTTTGCATTATCCCACATCTCGTGCAGTCTTTGGGCTCCAGCTTGATACTATTCAAGAACACGTCCGTCAAAGTACCGCGTGTTTCCTTGTCACCCAATGCTGCCGTGTCCAGCTTAGCGTGGTTTTGTCGCGTGTCGGAGGGCGCCTCCAATGTCATAGCGCAGGTGACTAGGAAGTGATCTGTAGCCAATGCCGCCCCACGCCAACTCCGAAGCGAACTGATCGAGTCTAGCGCTCCCGGCGTGCACAGAAAGAAATCTAGAATGTTGTGTGTGAGCAACTCAATTGGAGCCTGAGCGGTGATCCCGGCCTCTGTGAAAGTCACTTTTGCTTCCAGATCTTGTTGTATAAACCTGGTGGCAATGACCAAGCCATTCCCAAAGCAAAGTTCGAAGAGTAAATCTCTGTTTGGTCTTTCCACTATTCGCACGGCTTCCCGCCCCCAGCCGTGTAGTCCAATTACTTCGTCTTCGCCAGGACGTGATCGGCCCACTCGTGCGTTCAGATCGCCGAATACTACTTTGCCGTGGTTCGCGTGGCAAGCCCTGTATTCTTTATCAAGCGTGTTGGAGAAGTCGATTCGTTCTTCCGGCGGTCGTTGATTGTGGGGCGCATAGACCCCTAGAAGGCCGAGCGTTTGGGCTTGCAGCCGCAACTTTAAGACACAAATCCTGTCAGAAACTTGTTTATATGATTTTGCACATCTTCGCAGACGCGGTGCAATGATGAATCCAACCCCAGCCCAAGTGCTGTCATCGCAGTCTGCTCCGGATAAAATAATGAGATGGTCTTGTTCAAAATACATCTCTGCTTTCGGTTTCTTGGTCTCCTGAATGCACAGCACGTCGATGCCGTAGTTGATCATGTGTTCTATTAGCTCAACTGTTTTGATGTCTGTTAGCCCTCTGACGTTCCAGGTGCCATATGTAATGCAACTCGTTGTTCCAATCAGTGAAGAAGTACAGCATGTAGAAGCGGGTGGAGCTGGCGGCGTAGAGAAGAAGGAACATGGGATGGAAGCGGCTGTAGTGGCGCATGCGGCGTCTCCAGTGTGTAGCTCGGTATTGGTAGCTTTGCCCATCCCGGCTGGTCCACTAGAGGTAGATGCAAGATCAAGTTCGGGATCGGCATCGTCGTCTATGGTGATGGCTCTCCTGTGTCGTACACGAGGCGGGCCTGCGGCAGGTACATCGGTATCTTTGCCCGGAATACCACCATCCCCAAAATCTGCGTACAACGTTTCTGCCTTGGCTTCGGCACTGGTGGCAGAAGAACTTGTAAAGGTACGATTTTCCAGTGCCTGCCTTTGGCCCTATTTGGGCCCCTTCCCCCCTCCTTTCACATTCTTCGAAGCACGGCTGATAATGCCGTCGCACGCGGAAACAACCTCAAGTAGCTTAGGGTGCGATTGTAACTCGTCCCATTCAGCCCAATCTTTTGCCCATTCCCGGAGTACCACTCCACTCGATCTTCACGGTAAGAGCTGTTTGGCCACCAACTGCAACTGTATATGGTTGCGTAGTATCGTCCACGCGTATGGGGTACGAGACGTTCATGGAGCTCTTCAGCATTTACTTCACCCCGAAGCATAGATTACGAGCTGCTCTGACTGCAGGGGGGCGGTCTTGTGTTGCCCATACTTGCTTACCATTCCTTTCGACTTTCGCGCTTCGGAGCTGCCCGACTGCCAAGTTCCGATCCGCAATGGTGTTGTACTCCAAGAAAGGCATATCCCGGAATTCTCCTTTAGATTACGTGTTAATAGGCATTGGCGCGGACAAACGATTGGATTCTTGTTTGATCCATTCAGAGGCCACTTCCACATTCAAGAACCCATCCAAGTTTCCAACAACTGCTGTCAGATCTCTTTTGTCTGCGTGGTTCGGCGTACTTGCCCATGAACCA